AAACCGAAATTGTCATCTAAGCGTTAGTCCATCGCTGATTGGCTGCTGTGCTGGAATGCCAATTTGTAGTTTCAAATACCCCGGCTCAGTGTTCTAGGTTCTTCGCGTAATTAGGTGTTCGTATGCAAGGGATTTTTCCACACAAAAACGACGAATTCGGTCGAATTTGTTTATCGATTGGCTTAATATAACCCCAACGGACTGTATTTTTGTGAAAGATTGGTATTTTTGTCCTGATTTGTAGGAATCTGAAAAACGCGTTTCACAACTTATTTAGTTTTATGCGTCATTCAAGATGGCGGCCCCCATATAGTAAATATCGCATTTATTTTATTATCACGGTGCGCCAGCTGACTGTGCACTGTACCATGCATTTCTATGGGCTCTGTGCGTGCTGCTGTGGAACGCCGGTCGAGCCCGTGAAAATTCGAGAAAACAACACAAACTCAACTTTGAAGTAATCCTGAACAACCAAATTTATATATGTTACACACGTAGGGCTAATCTTGTTACACTGTTCAGAGGAGTCTCAACAATCATCCCGAAGTACCGTTTTCTGCGAGTTTTGGGCCTTTGTTTTCACCGCTGCAGGTTGCCAGGCGGTGAAAATGCCCGGATGTCCGCCCCCGAGGATGAGACTAAAACACCTGCCACACTCTACTCCCTCTCTATGTTTGCAAGTAGCGAACGGATACCCGCTCATGCAACAATATAATATAATAATAGTTGTGGTTCATTTGTATTCAGTTCGAATGCTTGCGTGTTTTGCTCGTAATGTACCTGTACTCGTATTGGTTAAACCAAAATGTGTGTCACTTCGGGCGGATATGTCCGCGACTGCAATCTCACTTGGATAAGTGTGTTTATTTGAATTCCACACAAATGATTCATCACGTGAAGAAACCTGACCAGCAGGTATAAAGTGGCTTCTCCTGAACATGTGAGAAACCTTGTAAGATGAATATACAATAGCAACCCAGTTTCAGACAGAATAAATATCGATTTAAAAACTCAAAAAAACAAAACATACAACAATTTACCAGGTAGTGAAATTAATATACAATGGAAATAAATCAAATACATCTATTAAAATCCTAATCATGTTATTGTGCGTAAACAGGTAAATATCATTGATGTAACAATCAATGCGGGCAAGGAACAAAGTTGGAACATACAACAAGATAGTAAACGATATTTCAGATTGACACTGTTATAAACAGTATTTTCGAATTATTAGATTTGTGGGAAATCTATGTTTTAACTTATTATAAATCATGCGTGTATCTTATGTTTGCTTTGTGTTTCATATATGATGCAAAGCAATTAGCCATGCAAATGTCGTACATTTTCTGTTGTATTAATTGCAATATGCTGTTCATGAGTTCAAGTTTTACTTAAAAAAAATATGATCTTTGCGAATAAAAACATAAGGCTTGTGAGGATAACTGGATACAACTGTCATGCCGTATGGTTGTTGGTGTTGTGCACTCTTTCGTTTACAGTTTCTTCAAGAGTGCCACGCCATAACTTTCGCAATCATCACTCCATTTCTTCTCCAACGAGAAACCCCCTTTAATCATTGTATCTTCAAATTGTTTCCAGGCCCATTTAAGACTAAGATGTTCTAATTCATGGCAAAAGAACAGTTCTCCTGCCTCGAAATGTAGTTTTAAATCCAACGCATCTGAGAAAAGAACACAGTTAATGCAATTATTAATTTTTTTGTTTTATAGAAAAAAACAACAACATATAAATGAATATATTACACTAATTGTGAATAATTTGAAAAGAATGTGGAAACAATTCACAGCATTCCACAAAATTCCTAAATGTCTAGTACAAATACAACACGGTTTTATGACTTGTCCGTAATAGAAGTTGCTAGTAATTTCAATGTATATTTTTCTGAAATTGGGACGCAGCTAGCCAATTATATTCTAAAGGTACGTTTAAATTTATTGTATTATACTAAGGTGATATCACCTGATACAAATAAATCTCATTTCAATAGTATTGATTCGGATTTGGTAGTGGCCGACCTATTTCGAGTAACAAAGCAACAGGACTTGATGGAGGTACATTCTTCTTAGAGATGCTGCTCCTATCATTAGTAACAGCTTAAGTATATCTATAACATGTCATTAAATACCGGTGTTTTCAGTAATGAAAGTCTGCAAAAATTACGATCCGTCCGTTCACTAATAATATTGTAATTATTTGTTATTGTAATATCATTATACTGTGAATGTGCTGGTCTGGATGTGGGGTTTTTGTTTTAATATTGGTCACAAATAAACATAATAAATTTGAGCACCATAAACTTGTCGCCACAACATTTGACACATTTTTACGTGTTTTTTTTTTTTATAATTAGTTGTGACCCCCGCCCTAATTGCGCTCAAATGAGTAACGAATAATCACAGCTAAAAATGAATTGACTACATTCACTCTAGCTTCTTTTCATTCTCGTGCTACTGATTGTAAAACTGCAGCACCATCAAACAGCATTTAAGAAATTTACAATCGTTGATGCGTTTAAGTTCCAATAAATGTCCAATTGCACAAATCAGTTCGAACAGCTAGTTCGTGGGAACTGGGAAATGTTTGTGATTGTTTGGAATGCAGGAGAATATTTCACAATTTAGTGAGACCATAGTAATATTTCACATAAGAGGCATTTTTTGTAATTTTAATAATAATGCATTATTGTACTGTGAGAACAATACATTTTTGTTTCAACTCATACAAAGAATGCTTGAATTCCACTTTTACATACCCAAACGAACGTGTTGTTCACATATGCTTTTAAGAGCGTGTTGAATATACTGCGGCTTTTCCACAAAGCCATCCACGTCGTCATTTCTGACATATTTGGTATATAATTTGAAATTCTGATGTTTGAAGTTTGCTCCTAAATCTCGATTTAGTCGGGTCAGTGCATTCATTTTGAATGGTATCCACGTATCAGGGTGGCTGTATATGGTGAGTGCCTTGTCTTTGTCTTGTGTGAGGTCAATGCCGACCAGAAACCTGTCGTTTTCCCCTGTAAAATGAAATGAAATGAAGTGTTTATTGTTTTGTAAACCATCGAAAATTATTTTCATATACTACACATATTTACTTCCGAGTGTCGTCAAACGTTATATTCATATAATAATTTCACAAGTCTATTTCAAAATAGAAATATAACAGATCGTGTTTATTCTGGGTGTAAGTAATGTAACTTTGAAACGTATACGTACCCATAATGTTATTGATTTGTGCCAGAAGTGACTTCAAATCATCTATTGGAACATTACTTATACTATTACCAATCCACATGATAAGTTTATTTCGATGTAAACCCTTCAAGTGGTGTAAACCATCAACATAGTCCCCAGCAAAAGATTTCGCTTCTAAACCCTCACTGAATCGTTGCATTAGCAAAGAAACGTTATGTTCCATGAAATCTGAATGGGAATATAAACATGTACATATCGGAACATAAACATCATGTTAAGATATCGAACTAACATTATTGAACATGGGACAACATTGTCATAACATATGTGCAACCGGCATGTGTATAACCTCTTCATGTAACATTACATCCTCCCATGAAAAGCAGAAACCCATTTTGTATACACGCATACGATCTGATAAGGTGATTCGGCTGACATCAAACAGTTTCTGTCAACTGTCACACACGCGATCAGATCACGTGATTTGACTTTTGCCATTTTGTAAAAATAGTACTGTTTTCTTTTTAACTGATACATTAACTATTAGCCATGTTGAGATCGTATGGATTATTAACAGTTAACTGATATGTACTTGGCTTGTTAGATAAGTGGTATTTATTATCGTCTATGTGACATGACGCACCTTTTGCTACATCTATAGGAATATAGGTCAACATCTTATTTTTCTTCAATAACGCCGATATTAAGAATGCGGTTTTTGTAGCATTACCAGCACCAAGCTCGCATAAGACTATGTCTTTCAAACCAGATATAATCTCATCTTTAACAGAAATAGTATGAGGTTATTACGAAAACACAACTTGCTCCATATATTGAGATCGCATTAGACTGTACATTCAGCAAGCAATGTCGCAATGACAAGACAATTTGAAGGTTACACATCATCAACCCGCCCCCCTACCGTTTAACATAATCAGAACAGTCCATATATTTTGAAATGTGATACAGCATAAATTCTAATATCGATTACTTTGGCGCAAGTTGATACAACATATAGTACAGCTGGTGCCATTTAGCCCGTGGATCACCATTGTATGCAGTAGTTTCTGGTCGGGTATTGTATTTTATAATTATTTATGTAAGAATTGACAAAAAGAAGATGAACATAATTGATTTTATGCAAAGCACTTCTGCATCGATTGCCTTTTGCCCTGTTCTATGCATGATTTCTACATACGTACACTGTCTCTGCCTGTAATAATATGTAAGGTAATAATGAGTTGGTGACATTGTAATATTGATTGTGTGAAGATGTATGATGATTAGATAGACTGTATGTATGGTGATATTAATGGCTTGTTTGTTTACGATCGCTGCTTTTCATTGATTCTTATTTTTTATAATATCATATAAATTAAATGAATAAACTTAAACTAATGAATTAATGGATGGCGCGCTGCCAAGGACAGTGCTATCGCAATATTGAGCGAGACGTAGTCGAGTCTATTATTTAAGCATCACTATCAGAGTCATGCTATAAATAGTTTTCAACTAATTAACCACATTATTATAATCGCATACAACTAAATATACATAACTTCATGAAAAAAATGCCTAAGCACACGATGTATGAGGACACACATTCAACTGTCTTAATAATATCAGAGGTACATTACTTGGGGTTTGCAACGCACATAGTACTGTATGGTGACATCATGTCAAGATCCCATTCAAGTTTCATCTCGTAAGTAGCGAGACTGGTGCTACGATCTGCTGATATGACATAGGCGGTTTGTAATAAAACAATAAAACATGTATTACCACATTCATAGCGAAAAAATTTAATAAAGCGAAAATGTACAGAAAATATAGTTATCGTAATCTGTAATATCGTGAACAGCTATTTTGATCCACCTGGACATCCCAGTATCCTAGCTACCTCGGGCATGCGCATTCGCATTTGTCTGAGTTGGAACGCTTCTGGGAGAGCGAGATTGAAATGGGATCTTGGTATCATGTCACCGTAGTTTCAAACCCCAAGTAATGTACCTCTGATAATATACATTCTGTTCAATTCGTTTGCCACTTGGTAATGTCAGTGACGTATTCGAAATGCACATAACGGAAATTATCGTTTTCTTAAACTCTATGGGTTACAGTAGAAAATTAAAATTTATTTCGAACAAATTCAATCGCAACGCCTCGCCGCCTCATTTTAAAATTTCCCTTAAGTTTTTTAGTGAAAATATCGATTATATTTTAAAAGATGCAACCAAGTAAAACTGCAGTACATGCGTATTAATGATGTTTCAGTCAATACAATTTTAAGGTAATAATAAGATAATTAACTTACCTGCATTCTGTTTTAGAATGTGACTTTCTGTTCTATAAATATGATAGTGTGGGTTTTCCATTGTAATTTTTTCATATAGAACCGATCCTATCGTATCATAAAGGTACCACATAGGCACATATTTTGGTGTTGATAATAGCCATTTTCTAACAGCTTTGTGCTCGATTTCCATCGCGGTCTCCTGGTTTAAATATATTTATGCATAAATATCGAATACTCTGTGTCTAACACATTGATCAAGCGTTTACTGTCGCTGATATATCGCCACACTGCTGTCAACGAGGCATATATTTAAATATGGACACCACGTCACATGGAGTTTCTTTGTCCTGTCCCGTCACGCACATTAATATATCATATGCCTGTCAACCAAATACGTGAACATATTTATTTCAAACGGTACAGATGTGACACACAAAGTCTTTGACGCGCCAAATACCCCCAAATGTTCACATTATATAAGAAGTTGAGTCTTATAATAATATATAACATGCTACGAAGGCAGACGTGTAACAATATGTGACAGGACAATATTGAGAGTAGGTATCCTCACATGCAATAACACGGGTCGTACTGTCTGGCCGTTATTTGTCAGAGCAGAACATTTCTAATCCTATGCCTCTTATCAATTTTAAATGGAATATGCTACTAAAGTCCCAAGTAATTGTGTTGTGTCTCCCAACATAGTCGTTGACATACTCGACCTATTTTTGATTTTTGACCAAGGTATGACATGAACTTGCGTTGAATCGTATCTTTATTTAATTTAATAAATGTGTGTAACGTGCAAATGGTAGTACATTCTAGCAATGTAATGTATTTTTAACACAATACGTAATGTTCCAATAATGGTGATATGGGATATCGCTCCTGAACGCAAAGACACTATATTACCACAGACCTGTAAATAAAAACTGGCGAGTTATTTGCAACAAGACTGGCGAGGGTAGCAAGCTACACATATCTATTTCATCGGTCCCAGCAGTCTTAAAACATGAGCAATCTATACGAATATCATTCGAGCATTGTGAATTACAACTGTACTGAGTGACTGTAACAAAAGCAGAACGGAATCTTTACAGACAATTGCAAATAATATTTCTGGGAAAACATTTTCTGTATTTTTTATATCGAATATCGTTGTGTAGGTTCGTAATAAACGCTCACTCTATAAATAGCATTCTTCTCATTTTTACGGCGACCATGTTAGTAAAATCGTCTTTAAGGCAATATTGTGACAAGGGTCATGGACTGACCTCATATTCATGAGAGCTCCATAAAATAGAGCAAGTGAGATGGTTTGTTACTAACATACTTTGAGTCTCAATATAGACGCGAACGCCAGTGTTGTTTATTAGAGAACTGCAAATTAAAGCCCCACCTACATACAGGTGCCTGTGATCACGAAACATATACATATATTTTGACATTAAGTAGCTTATCCTGATATAAATTAAATTAAATATGCTGAAACTACTTGTTCATATAATAATTGAGGAAATCAACTCTTACCTATAGCTCAATCGAAGACCAACCGTTCAAGCCCCTCGACCATTCTGTAATCGGGGCAACGTGCAAATATACGGATATTCATGCAAACAATAATAAAATATACTGGTTGTTTGGACGGTGTGCTCTCATGTCATGTCACATCACGTCACGTCAGAAAGAGCAAATATAAATATGTATAATGTACTGTTCTGTTGCAAGTACAAACAGCATTGTTACGTTTTATATTTCTCATATGTGTGCGAGTTACAAGTTAAGGAAACTAACGAATCGTTGATAACCTGACACGCTCGTGCAAATGGTGCGCACATAATAATACAATGATGTAGTGCCAAGCTGATACATGACAAATTACAATACAGACACAGACGTGATGCAACCCGTATATATCACCTTACCATCATTCTCATAAAGTAGATACAACAGTGCAGTAAATGATAGTGACATAAATAACTCAGGTATAAATAACCTCACATGGCGCACTGTATCTATATCATTATATTGTTACAGTAAATGTCATTTGAATGTCATCGATAATGCATGGCTGTGTCTAGATGTATATCATCCTTTTGTCTTGTAAAGAAGGCCAGGCACGCGTATGCATGACGTCTCGTTTAAGGCAGCTCACAAACATTCGACTTGTTAAAAAGAGCAAAAACAATTGTATCG